TTTTATTTAAAATTGGGTTTTGGCTGGACGCGATTTCTTACACCTGTAATCCCAGCACTTTGGGAGGCTGAGGCAAGAGGATTCCTTGAGCCCAGGAGTTTGAGACCAGCCTGGGAAACATAGCAAGACCTCCTCTCTACGGAAAATAAAAAAATTAGCCAGGCATGGTGGCATGTACCTGTAGTTTCAGCTACTCGTAAGATTGAGACAGAAGTCTCACTTGAACCCAGGAGGTCGAGGCTATGATGAGCTGTGGTGAGCTGTGGTGGTGTCACTATACTCCAGCCTAGGTGAGAGTAAGACCTTGACTCAAAAAAATACCAAACAGGTTTTGAAGAACTGTTCAACCCTCTGGCCTATGTGCAAGTTTTTAAAAATCACATACCAAATTTTAAAAAACCAAAGTGTAGCCATGAGAAGGTTGGAAAGCCACTGTCAACTCTATTTGCTTTGAGCAGATAGAGAAAGTTAATGTGGTAGCACTGGTTTTAAATTTCCAATAAAAAAATGCAGAGAAAGTGAAAGTCCCCCATAATTTTCTCTCCAGAGTCAGCAGTTTATTCCTTACAAATTTATGTGCATATGGTTACACATACATACAAACACACACACAGCCTTAATTATATAATACACGAATACATTATTATTGTAAAAACATTTAAACCATGTGGAAGTTGTTCAGTAACTTGTCTTTTTCAATAATATATATTTGACATCTTTACGTGTCAAGATATTAAATCTATCTTGTTCTTTTTAATAGTCGGCTATAGTATTATGTGTATTGATTTCATAATTTATTTAAATACTCTCCTATTGATGTACATTTAGGGTTTTCACAAGTTTCAGATTATTATAAATATATCTTTGTGCACTTGTCTGAAACCTATTTAGAAATGGATTTTCTGGGTTAAAGGATATATCCACTTAAAAATTTAATAGATACTGGCAAATGCCCTTCAAAACAATTGTGCCAGTTTATACACCTTCATCAAAGCATGAGCATACTTGTTTCCACACACCCATGCCAGCAGTAGGTATTATTTATCTTTTTATTATTTGCCAAAGTGATGGATAGAAAAAAAAAATTGATATTTTTACTCAACTTTCTGTAAGGACAATGTTGAGAATATTTTTATACCTTTACTGTGTCTTATTCTGTGAATTTTTTGTTGTTCTTGTTATTCTTTTGGATTATTCACCTTTTGATTATTGGTTTATAAAAAGCTTTTTAAATATTAACAATAGGCTGAGGTGAGTGGATTGCCTGAGCCCACGGGTTTGAGACCCGCCTGGGCAGTGAGACCTCATCTCTACAATAAATCAAAAAATCAGCTGGGCGTGGTAGCGCATGCCTGTAATTCCAGCTACTCGGAAGGCTGAGGTGGAAGGATTGCCGGAGCCAAGCAGATCGAGGCTGCGGTGGCTGGGAATGGCCACTGCACTCCAGTCTGGGTGACAGAGTGAGTCTCTAACTCCAAAAAAAAAAAATTTAAAATTTAAAAATAAATAAATAAATATTAACAATATTAGCTTTTGTCTGGCATATGTATATGAATATTTTTCCCAGTTTATGATTTCCTTTTGTATAGTATTTGTGTGTGGGAGCAGTTTTAACTTTTCTTGCAAATTTATTAATTTTAAGTTTCTATATATTCAAATTGGTGAGACACTTTATGGTATCTGAATTTCACATCAGGTGTAGAAGTATTTATTCAGGCTGTTTTATTCAATAAACAGTATGGTCACAGACCTTGGGCCTCTGAGTATCTTGAAAACCTATGAAAATATTTGAAACCCCAAATAAAATATTTTTTGTCCTAGAAAACAAAAAGAAAATTGCTAAATGTCAATAAATAAGTGTTTGTTTATTTATTTATTTTGAGTCAGTCTTACTCTGTCACTCAGGCTGCAGTGTAGTAGCATGATCATGGCTCACCACAGCCTCCCAAGTAGCTGGAACTATAGGTGCATGCCACCACAGTTGGCTAATTTTTTTATTTTTGTGTAGCAACGAGGTCTTGCTATGCTACTTAGGCTGGTCTTGAACTCTTGGACTCACGTAATATTCTACCTCAGCTTTCCAGAATGCTGGGATTACAGGAGTGAGCCATCACACCCAGAACTAAATGTTTATTTTAACTATTTTTACAAATATAGCATTATTTCAACTTCATTAATTATTAAATTCTGTTTTCTCAAACAACACATTTGAAAACTGTAGGAGAGATTTCTTTTTTCCTCATAAGAGTTCTTATGAGCAAGTGTGATTACACAAATTACATTATGTGATTATACACAAATTACATTATGTGATTATAGAAATTAAAAACCAGTAACAGATTAAATAAATTTATATCCAAAGAATGTCAAAGCAAGCTACAAAAATATGTCCAGAACAATTTATAGCAAAAAATTATAGTTGATATGGGTTGGACACATTTAATATGTTTGGTATGAATGACCAGACAGCTTCCAGAAGGAATATCTGAGTTAAAGACATTGGTCTTCAAGCTGGGGTACCCGTGCTCTTGAGAGGACAAGGAGACTCTCCAACAGGAACATATGTCTTTCAATAGTTAAAAAAAAAAAAAAAAGTCACCTCTTGCCCATCTGTGCCTTCCTATGGAGCACTTCTCTGAGGCGTAAAGCCCTCAGGGTCACCAGTGAAACAGTCCAGCATGTTGGGGGCCATGTCCTGAAGCACATCACTCTGAGGCCTGAACAGAAAATTATTTTGTAACATAGGTTGTTTGAAATATTTTGCTTTCAGGCTGGGCTCAATGGTTCATACCTGTAATCCCAGCACGTTGGGAGGCTGAGGTGGGAGAACTGCTTGAGCCCAGGAGTTTGAGACTAGCCTGCACAACATAGCAAGACCTCATCTCCACAAAAAATAAAAATAAAGTACTGAGAAATAAATAGAAATATTTTGCTTTTTATGTTATTTTATTTTATTTATTTATTTTTTGAGTCAGAATCTCACTCCATCAACCAGACTGGAGTGTAGTGGCATGCTCATGGCCACTGCAGCCTTGACCCTCTAGACTCAAGCGATCCTTCCACTTCAGCCTTCCATGTAGCTGGGACTACAGGCATGCACCGTCACACCTGGCTTATTTTTTGACTTATTGTAGATAACGCGGTCTCGCCAAGTTACCCAGGCTGGTCTTGAACTCATGGGCTCAGGCAATCCTCTCACCTCAGCCTCCCAAAGTGCTGGGATTATAGGCCTGAGCTACTGTGCCTGGCTGAGAAATATTTTGCTTTTAGTAAATTGAAAGAGAACCTAATCAAGTTGTAAGCTAATTGGTCATTAAAAACAATTTTTTTATGATATGTTGGCCTTGTGATTTTTGTGGTATATAATTCAGAAGGTCAAAGAATCTAGTGACAGTTCCATAAAAAAGCTCCTTCCAGTCCATCTACATATTTATGTAAATGAGATCTCCCAATGTAAATAAGGCTTCATTTATAAAAACTGAAAAATAGACTAAAATTGATTCTGAACTCTTTCTTGTTCTACAATAAGAATATTCACTCTCAGATAAGACAACTGATTGGGAAAAGGTTTCTATTTATCCATATAAGAAATATGTTTCCAAAATTTTTTTTGTTTTCTATCTTGGATAATTGTTTATCATTCTATAGTAATAATCACTAAGGGTAACTAAAGCCAGAAAGGTATGAACACTTAGAGCCCTGTGGTTATTAGAAACGAAAGCAAGATTAAACTTTTAATTTACAGATGCATTTTTGTGGCAGAGTAGGAGATCAGTAAAAGGCTTCTAAGCATAAAAATATGTTCTATTAGGATAAAATTCTGTGGGCAAAGTGGGAATGGAAATAGAAGTTCAAGGTGAAAAGGAATGATACAAAAATTCCAACTATCAAAGAAGAACTTGTTCGTATATTTTTTAAGTGAATAATTGTGGATTTTAAATTGCTAGGATCCATAGATCCCATTGGTGACGTTAAAGGATGATGGAAGAGTTCATTTCAAAATATCAATATTTACAATACTCCAGAAATTACATCTTTTGCAGTTACTGATGCATTTTATATATTTATTCAAAAAGGTGTAAGGGAGTACATGGTTTTAAAACATTAAGTTGTAGGCAAGCAAAATATTTTAAATAGTTTGTGAAGTCAGGGAAGAAATGTTTCTGATGCTGGAGTCACTCTCATGTTTGTCAAGGGAGTATCATGACTTAGCACAAGGACAAGGATGGAAGACAGAGAGCAGGCACACAGGTAACAGAGCAAAATTCCAGGGAGGAAGAAGCGGGCAGGGTTAAGAAATGAACAAGCGGAGGATTTCAGCTATAGGAGCAGGAAAAGGGACACTTTTTTTTCCCCTGAGATTTGAGAGAAAAGGGAGGTAAAGATGGTAGCTTTGAACTAGTGTGGGAGAAAGTAAAGAACGTAGATGTGGATGACGCTTTTCTGGTTGAGAGATGATCTGCCTTTTCATTCAGCCCAACTATGAGTGAGCAGGTGAGAGAGAGACTAGGTATTACCTGTACATTGGCTGGCTTCATGCGGAAAGAAAATGAATGTCTCTTTAAAATAAACCCAGGCCAGGCACAGTGGCTCACACCTATCATCCCAGCACTTTGGGTGACCAGTGTGGGAGGATCACTTGAGCCCAGGAGTTCAAGAAGAGCCTGGGCAACATAGCCAGACCCTGTTTTGAAACAAGTAGATTTAATTTAATTTAATTTAAAAATAAGCCCTGACAAGGCTGAATATTTTTAAACACTGTGGGGCTTATGGAAACAAACTTTGTATCCGTTTTAACTTGACTCCAGTTTGCATTGCTACAAAGTATCCAGAAAATCTTAAGTCTACTCACTGCCAACTCAGTATCATAGTTCTTCAGGGTACCCAAAATAAGAATTATTGAAATGTAAATTCTAGCGCTGCAGAAACCTAGGCAGGTGGCATGAACATGTTCTGGATTCTTTTCTCCTCCTCCCTCACCCCTCCCCACCCTCTGTCAGCGCACGACGGGATCGTGATTAAGATTGAGGTACAGACCAACGATGAAGGCTCAGAAAGTTTGGAGACACCCGAGCCCCTGATGGGACAAGTGGAAGAACATGGCTTTCAGGACTCAGAGTTGGGCGACCCCTGTGGAGAACAGCCAGACCTGGACATGCAGGAACAGGAGAACACACTGGAGGAGTCCACTGAAGGCTCCAGCGAGTTCAGTGAGCTCAAGCAGATGCTGGTGCAGCAGAGAAACTGCACAGGTAAGTTCTGGGTGGAGAGCAGCAGGGAAGCTGCTGCAATTAGGCCTCCAGATAGGTCCCTACCCCAATGGAATAGCTGGAGCTCTTTCAGAAAGGGGGTTGGACACTGGTGGGTCCACAGGTGTGAAAGAATCCCAGCCATGGCCTTAGGTGTAAGTTTCCTGCCTGAGGATTTATAAAAATCTGTCTCCGAGCTAGGAAAGAAGTGGTTAGTTACATCCATAGACTGATTCAGATAAGGACTCAGAGGGATCTTAGAGATCATCTATCTTACTCCCTCATTCTGCAGACAGAGGTCAAATAAATTACCCAAGGCCACACAGATGTGGCAAAGCTAGAACTTCCTTCTCCTGATGTGTCCTTGATCATCTTGTGTCACACAAGGAACCTCAACTAACCTGAAGGTTTCAACCCTGGAGAGCATGTTTTCAAAATGAATATGGCACTGTTTCTCTAGTAGAATCTAGTCATCATTTTTGTTTAATTCTAAAACCTCAGTGCATTATTTTGCTCATTCCTCCTTGTGAGTTCAAGAACAGTAAGGAAATGGGCTCACAGTGACCTGATCCCAGGACATCTTTTGTGACAGGTTTTCTGATGCTGAACCATACTGGCAGTCTTGGGTAAAGCCCTACTTGTTGATCTCATGGCATATTTTTTGAATACCCTATTGGACTTAGGTAACAAATATTTTACTTAGGATTTTTACAACTATATTCATAAATGAGATGAGCCTGAACTTTGTTTTTCCTTGAATCATTCTCTAGTTTTGAAAACAGTATTATACTAGACATATCAAATGAACTTAGCAACTTTTGCTCTTGTTCTGTATTCTGAAAAAAAAAGATTTTAGAGTTATGTTCTTTGAAAGTTTTTGTGAGTCATTTGCCATCACATATTTGTATATTCTTATTCTTATTCTTATTGGAGTCAGAGTCTCACTCTGTCACCCAGGCTGGGGTGCAGTGGCATGCTTACAGCCACTGTAACCTCGACCTGCTGGCTTAGGCGAACCTTCCACTTCAGCCTTACAAGTAGCTGGGATTATAGGCACGCGCCACCATGCCCAGCTAATTTTTTGATTTATTGTGGAGATGAGGTCTCACCAAGTTGCCCAGACTGGTCTCGAATCCTTGGGCTCAGGCAGTCCTCTCACCTCAGCGTTCCGAATTGCTGGGATTATAGGCGTGAGCTACCATGCCTGGCTATATGTTTATATGTTATCTTTTATATTTATAAATGTTTTCACATCTATTTATATAGGGTTTGTTTGGTTTTTGTTTCGTTTTGTTTTCTGAGTTGAAGTCTCCCTCTGTCACCCAGGCCAGAGTGCAGTGGCACAATCACAGCTCACTGCAACCTTGATCTCCTGGACTCAGATGATCCTTCTGCCTCAACCTCCCAAGTAGCTGGGACTACAGGCATGCACCACCATGCCGGCTAGTTTTATTTTTATTTTTTTTAATTTTTGTAGAGATAAGGTCTTGCCATGTTGCCCAGGCTAAGCAATCCTCCCACCTTGGCCTCCCAAAGCGCTGAAATTACAGGTGCGAGCCACCACACACAGCCTATTTATATAGGTTTTTAAAAGTATCATCTTAATTTAATTTTTTTCCTTTTTAGTTATAGATAATTCCTCTATAATTTGCCTTTTTGTGCTTAATATAAAATCGCCAGGCATGGTGGTTCATACCTGTAATCCCAGCACATAGTGAGGCAAAGGTGGGAGTATTGGTTGAGCCTAGGAGTTTGAGAACAATCTGGGCAATATAGTGAGAACCTATCTCTACAAAAAATAAAATAAAAAATTAGCTGGGTGTGCTAGCTCATGCCCATGGTACTAGCAACTCAGGAGGCTGAGGTAGAGGAGTCTTTTGAGCCCAGGAGTTCAAGGTTACACTGAGCTATGATTGTGCCACTGTACTCCAATCTGGGTGACAGAGTGAGACCCTGTCTCTAAGGGGAAAAAAAAATCCTGGACATCCTCCTTGGTCAAAGATGTGGATCTAACTTCTGATTTTTAAATAAATGCATGGTATTTCAGGAGTCTTTTTCTTTTCTTTCTTTCTCTTTTTTTTTTTTTTGTAGATTTGAGAACTCACTGTGTTGCCCAAGCTGGTCTTGAACTTCTGGGCTCAAGCAGTCCTCCTGCCTCAGCCTCCCAAAGTGCTGAGATTACAGGCATGAGCCACCATGCCTGGCCAATTTTTTTAATTTTTATTTTTGTAGAGACAGGGTCTCACTATATTGCCTATGTTGACCTCAAACTCCTGGGCTCAAGCAGACCTCCTGTCTCAACTTCCCAAAATGCTGGGGTTACAAGCATGAGCCACCATGCCCAGCCTCAGAAGTCTTTTTAACATACTACACTATGTTTCATAAAAGAGTAGTGAAAAGTCATAAAGGCACATTCTGAGTATGTATATGCTAAATTGGGAGTGTCATAATATAAATTCCAAATTGCCATTTGAGCATTCCCCACTAACTCTAGTAGAATTTTAGAAAACTACTAAACAGTAGTTTGAGGAATTTTGAGTCTTGACTTTTAGGGCCAAAGTTTTATTTTTATTATTTCATTAAGAAAAAAGCAACACTGATGCTCAAGGAGCAATTAGATTTTCTAAGGGTCATATTTTCCTTTAGCCTTTCATACATACTCTGTATTCTTACAATAAACATCAGGCAACTAGTCACCAAGCTCTGCAACTGCCTTTTCCTCCCTCTTTTAGACATCTTGCTCCAAGAATGTTCTGGGTCACTTCCTGCTAGGAGTCCTACCACTACTGAGGCAACATTGACTTCAGCACACCTGTGTCCTAATTTTCTCATGTAGTTTACTGGTTTAGAGGACTAGTAGAAAGTGCTGTGGCCTAGGAGTCACCAACAACCTTATAAGACTTTGGCTGGGTAACAAACATTGCTAGCTTCATTTTTCTTATCACTTGATGGGGTAGACTAACTGGGCCATAACCTGCAAGCTTGGAAAAGGCCTACGATGCTGTTCACTTTATTTAGAAACATACTTGATATCTCCAAGCTTGGATGCCCTATCTGTGAAGTGGGGATAATTATTGCTTGGTTTATCCTATAATAAAATATTGTACACGTATAAAAAGAGAGGACAGGTGTAAAAGTCCTAAAGTGCTTTGATAAAGATCTTGTTTCTCTGTTTTTAAGAATTCTGCAAACAGGCTGGGTTCAGTGGCTCACACCTATAATCCCAGCACTTTGGGAGGCTGAGGCAAGAGGATTGCCTGAACCCACAGGTACAAGACCTGTCTGGGCAACTTGGCGAGACCTCATCTCTACCATAAATCAAAACATTAGCTGGGCATGGTGGCATGTGCTTGTAGTTCCAGCTACTTGGAAGGCTGAGGTGGAAGGATCGCCTGAGCCCAGCAGGTCAAGGATGTGATGGCTGTGAGCATGCCATTGCCCTCCAGCCTGGGCCACAGAGTGAGACTCTGACTCAAAAAAAAAAGTATTCTGCAAACAGGTTTTTTTCATGTATTCTGTCACTGATGGGTTCAGAAAAGTGAGTGACTTTCTCATGTCACACAAAGTGAATAAAAATAGAGCCTCCCCAATTAATATTTAGGGAGTGCCAAATAAGTATGAGAGGCATTTGAGAAAATTCAAACAAGGAGCCACTTCTTTTCTCTCATATTTATATTCTCATAAAGGACCAGGCTAGAGAGTTGGGGAGGGGAGGGCATCCATCAGTCAGGGTGTACTTGGCACTGCACACCAGAGCTTGTGGGAAAGGCAGAGAAAAACCACTTGCTCCAGATTTAGGGTTGGTAGAGTCTGACTGTGCAGGTGAGTCATCCATCCAGGAGATGGTACAGAAGGCTGAGCTCCTCCTTCCCAGGGAGGGGCTCCAGCAAGTACTGTTGGCTCAGAGGAGGGGTTGAGTGCTGGAGGTTGGGATCAAGGCAGACATGGAAAGGAGGAGGACTTTTCTGGAGGAGGGTGAGGAAAGGCCCTGTGAGGAGAACTATCCACGCAGGTTCAGGAAAGATGTTGACCAGTCTGAGCAGAGTTCAGGGAGATATGTACTCAGAGAAGACTGAGAGCTTTATGAGTCAAGTCCTTTTGATACAGCTGGTAGAAACCCAGCCTTTAAGTAGCCTAAACGAAAAAGACTTAAACGGTTGCAATCGTCAGCATGCCAACCTCAGGCATGGCTGGATCCTGGCACTCCCCTGACGGCTCCGTGTGCTGGTTTCCTTTTCTTGCTGGGGACCACTTCACAAGCTGCTTCCCATTATGACCAACAAGAAGCAATCTCCCTGTGTCCTCTACATAAAATTAAACAGAGGATTCTGGTTCATTTCAAGTGTGGGCTCATTCCTGAACCAAACACCAAGGCCAGCCTGAGCCACGTGTCAAACTCCTTGGGGGTGGGGACATGGGCCGCAGGGAGGGGAGTAGTTTACCAAAAGAAGGAATGTGGGCCAATAAGTTATGTGCAATGTTTGTTGGTGAGAGTGAAGCGATGCTGTACCTCCGCCCAGGTTAGGGGCGCTAGGCGACAGCTGACATCTGTCTGTCTTTCTCTGTCCCTGGAACAGAAGGGATCGTAATAAAGACAGAGGAGCAAGATGAGGAGGAAGAAGACGAGGAGGAGGATGAGCTGCCACAGCACTTGCAGTCCCTCGGGCAGCTGTCCGGGAGATATGAGGCCAGTATGTACCAGACCCCGCTGCCGGGGGAGATGTCTCCCGAAGGCGAGGAGAGCCCCCCACCCCTGCAGCTGGGGAATCCAGCGGTGAAGCGGCTGGCGCCCTCCGCGCACGCGCACGCACACGCGCACGCGCACGCGCACGCGCACGGCGAGCGGCACCTGAGCGAGAACCGCGGGTCCTCCAGCCAGCAGCAGCGGAACCGGCGCGGCGAGCGGCCCTTTACCTGCATGGAGTGTGGCAAGAGCTTCCGGCTGAAAATCAACCTCATCATCCACCAGCGCAACCACATCAAGGAGGGCCCGTACGAGTGCGCTGAGTGCGAGATCAGCTTCCGGCACAAGCAGCAGCTCACGCTGCACCAGCGCATCCACCGCGTGCGGGGCGGCTATGCCTCGCCCGAGCGTGGGTCCGCCTTCAACCCCAAGCACGCGCTCAAGCCGCGCCCCAAGTCGCCCAGTTCCGGCAGCGGCGGCGGCCCCAAGCCCTACAAGTGCCCCGAGTGCGACAGCAGCTTCAGCCACAAGTCCAGCCTGACGAAGCACCAGATCACGCACACCGGCGAGCGGCCCTACACGTGCCCCGAGTGCAAGAAGAGCTTCCGCCTGCACATCAGCCTGGTGATCCACCAGCGCGTGCACGCAGGCAAGCACGAGGTCTCCTTCATCTGCAGCCTGTGCGGCAAGAGCTTCAGCCGCCCGTCGCACCTGCTGCGCCACCAGCGGACTCACACGGGCGAACGGCCCTTCAAGTGCCCGGAGTGTGAGAAGAGCTTCAGCGAGAAGTCCAAGCTCACCAACCACTGCCGCGTGCACTCGCGCGAGCGGCCGCACGCCTGCCCCGAGTGCGGCAAGAGCTTCATCCGCAAGCACCACCTCCTGGAGCACCGGCGCATCCACACTGGCGAGCGACCCTACCACTGCGCCGAGTGCGGCAAGCGCTTCACGCAGAAGCACCACCTGCTGGAGCACCAGCGCGCGCA